TTAATCGATTTCGAACAAAGGAAACCGATAACCGAATTTTAAAAAAATATTAATTATTAGTCAATCCAGTGACTAATTACCCAATTAACTAACATGACTAAATTTCGATTCGATAAGTGAATTTGTAATTTACCATTTCATAATTAAAGGGAAAACACTAGGGACCGATGTTAGAATAAGGATCGCAACGGGTTGGGTTGAATTTCTTGTTAACTCGATATGACTCGAAAATATGGACCCTTCATCCAAAGCTGTCCCGATTTAAAAATTATATATTCTCCACTCAATCTGATCCAAAAAATATATATATTCGATCCGACTCTGATATGATTCATAATTTTAGAGTATAAATCTGACATGACTCAACCTGATATAAAATAAGGACCTAGGGGATGTTTGTTTACTGTTGAATGCTGAACCGTTCATCGCTGAATGCTGAACCGTTCAACGCTGAATGCTGAACCGTCAGCGTGTTTGATTCTCACCTCTGAATGAAGACTGTGCTGAATGATTTAACATTAAAGTACATTCTGAATAATTCAGAACCATTATCAAACAGCGTGTTACATTAAGAGCTTATTCATACAGAGCCTTTAAATCATTCAGGCCATTGAATCATTCAGCGTTTAATCATTATGATTTAATCAAACAGCCCTTTAATTAAAAAAATAACATTATTTTTAAGAAAATATATTATTATCCCCATATTGGGTTGAAATTTTTCACCTTTTATCCGAATTTGATCTGATCTCACTTCCTTAAAATATCTAATTCAATTTGATCTGAGTCTGATTTTTTTTAAATTTTAATATTGTCAAATTAGATCGAACCAAAATCCGTCAGTTTCGAATTAAAGGGCCATCTCTATGCTAGAAACTATGGAGGATAATGGGTAGATTCGATTTGAATAGGTTTGGCCACAATTTCCATGAATAGAAACACGTAGAAGCTATGGGTTGGGTAACTTTGGGTTTATTTATTCATTTAAAAAGGAAACAAAAGAAGAGATTCGACAAAACAGTGGATAGATGTGCACCGATAATGGGCAGTCTGTCTGTCTGTCTGTCGGAAACAGGGCCGAAAACAGTGTTTGACTGCCGAACAAGATGAAGTGTACGTGTGGCGGTGCAGCCCAGGGTGCGGCCCTTTGATCCCCAGTTTCCCTAAGACGCTAGGTTATTTTTCTTAATAAATATGAGTCGATAAATGTTAATATCTATTGAATAACTCTTAACTAAAGATAGTAGAAGATTGAAATTTGATGGATTTTGATCGGACTCGATTTTATTGGATTAAAATATTTTTAAAATAAAATCAAATTCATGTCAAGTTGAGTTGAGTTTTTTTAGAGGATATGTCCAGATCAGATCAAATTCGAGTTTAGTGTGAAAAATATCTGATCCAAATTGACTCAAAAAATAATGTAATTTTATTTTATATATTTAGGGATAATGACAATAATATTTTCCTATATATTACTTTTCAATTAGATCTATATTTTTAATAAATATATTTATTTCATGTCAGGTCGGGTAAGGTGAAATCACCCTGAACTTGAGTCAGATTGAGCTTTGTATGGATTGTGTATATTTTTTTTTGGTTGAGTTGGCCTAAATCACGACCCATATCCTTCCTATTCTCAACCCTTTAACAATTAACGTCCATATCTCTACACATGTGACGCTCGATCCCTATACCTCAAAGAATATCAACAGATTTTTTAATCACTAAAGTTCACTAGGTTAACTTATATCTGGAGAGGTATATATATATGGTAAATTAACTATTTGGTTACTCATCTATTATTTAATTTATGTTTTGGTCACTCAATTATTATATCTTTTAAAATTACTTATAATGTTATGTTTTAATTATATTTCAATTGCCTACTCTTAAAAAATAATGATAATATTGTAAAATAAACCATTTCAAAATTAAAATAATAACTAAATCATTATGTATATTACTCAAATTTATTTGCTCCATAAATCTTCTCCATAATTTGATATCAGTCCAACCCTAAATCAAGGTTAAGGGAAGCTTTTGAATAATGGAAGTGCATTACTCAATTTGATTTGCTACATTCTCGCGTGCCCAACTTTCAAATAAACTTGGTCTTAAGCGGGGTGTGCAAAATTACCCGACCCGGTTGACCCGACCCGTCAACCTGCCGACCCGAATCTAAAAAATCGGGTATTTCTTTAAAAAAAATTACCCGGCCGGGTCGGGCCCGGGTCACAAAATCTAGTTTTTCCGGGTACCCGGTTAGTTTTTATTTTTTATTTTTTTAATATATAATTATATAAAATATAATAAATTATTTATATTATGGATTATTATATTTTGTATTTTGAACTTTTAAATTTTATGTTTTGATGTTAGAGTATGTAATTCGAAGTTTTGAATATTTAAATTTGTATATATATTTTTTTAAATTAATAATTTAAAAATTAAAAATTAAAAATCGGGTATCGGGTACCCGATTACCGGGTACCCGCAAAATCCGGGTACCCGATTACCGGGTACCCGTAATATCCGGGTCGTGACACGGGCCGAGAAATAGTCGACCCGGAAGTTCCGGGTACCCGAAAATCCGGATACCCGAATTTACACACCCCTACTTAAGCCCTTGATCATGATCATGATCATGATCATGATCGTCATCATGTCATAACCAAAATCATATCAATGATCTTCATGTGGAAACATTATGAATAGCTAGCACATGGTTTTATATGGCCTACTTGCTTGCTATATAGGTTTCCTTTAAGGGGCATGCTTGAATTCCATAGCTTCTTGATTTGAATATTTTAATTCATCCTAATTGAAAGTTAGTTAAAATAGTAGTGATGCATTGATAATGTACCTAACTCTAAATTTTAAAAATTAAGATCAAATAGGGTAATTTATTAAAATAATATATATTTCAAGTTTTTATTAAAATAATATTAAAATAATACTATTTATTAAAAGGGAAAACCACACATTTAGTACTTAAAATTTCACTTTTTGTACGTTTTAGTACTTAAAGTGTCAATTTTTACAAAATCATACTTTTACAAAATCATATCTAAAGTTTATTTTTTGTTTTTATTTTAGTAATAACGACAGAGCCGACGTGACATTTTTAAATTATTTTCTTATTTTTTAATTAGTTTTATTCAACTAAAAAGGAAAAATAACCTTAGATGAGTCCACTAGGATGTGAACCCGGGTATCCTTGGAGGAAGGATGAACGTCCAACCATCTAGGAAAGGCATAATATTGATGTCAATTTGCTGAAGTTTGAATTTAACTTATATAAACTATAACTATAAAATAAAAGAGATTTATTAGATCTATTATTTGAACTTAAGACATATCACAAAAATATTCAAACATTTAACCAATAAACAGATTAAAACTTGTATTCTATTATAATAAATATCATAAATTTAATTTTTAATATTAATTTTATAATATATATAAATTTTTATTTAATAAATTTAATTTTAAAGTAGATCTAATAAAGTTCTTTTATTTTATAGTTATAGTTTATATACTTTAAATACAAACTTCAGCAAATTGATATCATTAATATCCCCAGCCTATGAATTGCTCATTCAGTTCAGTTGGTAGAGCAAGGCTCTTAACCTTGTGGTCGTGAGATCGAGTCCCACGATGGGCAATTCATAAAGCTGGAGGTCTCGCACGGAAGATGCTCTCAACCTGGCGTTGGGGGCAACTTATTATCCTACCTCTCTCTTATCCCATTACAAATGAGAATAGGGTCAGCTAATTTTTAATATCCCTAGCGTAGATAGTTGGGCTCCCATGTCTGCTCCAAGGACTCCCAGGTTTGATTCCTCGTAGTCTCCTCAGAGGAGGTTTCTTTGTTGCATTTCTAATATGGTGATGACGCGTGTCAATGCCTTATTAGGTGAATAAAATTAATTAAATAATAATTTAAACATTAAAAAATAATTTAAAAATGCCACGTAAGTCTTTCGTTAAAATTTTAACGACAGGATAATAAAATGAAACAAAATATTAAATTTTAGTTATGATTTATAAAAATCAAAATTTTAAGTACTAAAACATATCAAAAGTGAAACTTTAGGTACTAAAATATATCAAAAGTGATTATATATAATCGCCTTTTGAAATATTTGTCTAAGAGAATATCTTTGATTACGTGGTTGGTCATATGTACGATTTTTTTGATATTAATGTTTTTTAAATATAAAATAAAAGAAAATAAAAATTAGTGGGTCAAAAATTATGCAAATTTTATCTAAAAAGAAACAATACACTCGACGTATGCCAGAAATACATAAGTGCACGAGCATGAGTTACTTGAGCAACAACGAGATGTATATAGGTCTTATCTTCGTTCACTTCATGAATATATGTTTAAAAGATTATATTTAATTATTTTTTAAAAAATCTTTTATATGAATTTATCAAGCGATCTTAGTAATTAAAAATAATATTATTGTCTCTTGAAATCTTGAATTCAAATAACTATTTTTACATGATATTTTTACGTGTTAATAGTTAAGAAATATTTAATTTATAATCAACTCAAATTATTAAAAGAAACCAATATATAAATATATAAGATTTGAAAATATAAATATAATTCATATAGATAAAATAATTAGTAGCGGATGTACATAAATCTCATGGTGGACATGTTTCCTTTCTAGAATTCAAATTTCTTTAAATTTATCGTTATTTTTATTAAAGATATTCACCCTAAAATTTTAATTATATATATAAATTTTTTATTATTAACACATATGTGTATTTTAAAAATATTTTTAAATTTCTCATAATATCATATCGATGTTAAATTCCCAATCAAAATCAACTCCAATACCACCAAGGATGAACAGTTCCCATTTAATGATGATGGGTTTCCTCTAGATGTACAGTATAAATGCATTCCCCTTGGAACTATAACCATATTAAGCTTGAAAAAGAAAACCTTTGTAAAAACCAAAAACAACAAAAGTAAAAGGGAAAACCAGGTCGACATACAGAAACCAGCCTCTGCAAAACAAATAGTGGGGCTTTCCGACAGAGTAATCGTACAAAACCAAGTGTTTTTTTACCTTTAAAAGGGTACCCTACCCTTAACAGGGTCAGCTGTGCTACAAAGGATGCATCAACAAAGGGCAAAGAGGACCCCTACCTCTCCTCTCCTGAAATCAAGCTAGTGTTTTTTTACTCCGTACTTGAAAGATCTATTTCAGTTGCTTTGATTTGATTTCTTTGCTTCCTTTTTCATCTGTAAATAGAGTGTCCTTCAAACAATCCTTTTATGGGTCCTTTTTAGTTTCTGAGATCCTATATGTTTTTTGGAGTTTGAAACTTGGATCTGATCTTTGTGGATTGTGGTTAGGGCTTGTTTTTTTCATGCAAAAACAAGAGGAACCCATGTCTTAAATGTCTGGTTCATGAGTATGTTGGTCTGGTTTTAAGACAATTGATAAGGTTGTTGGTGTTCTTGTTTGAAGATCTATCTTTGAAAAGCCATGGCTAATCGATGGTGGGCTGGGAATGTGACAGCTTTTAGAAATTCATCTGAAGATAATCAAATGGGAGGTTTTAGAGCTAATATTAGTCCTTCGAATGAAGATCGTCGAGAGGATAATGAAGATAATAGAGAAAATATCGAATCGGAAGACCAAACTCAAGCCCTCGAAACCGTCGAACCAGGTTCGGGTTCTGCCTCTCGCCGTCCGAGAGGTCGACCGCCTGGTTCGAAGAACAAGCCAAAGCCTCCCGTTGTTATCACTAAAGAAAGCCCCAACTCTCTTCATAGCCATGTGCTTGAAATCGCTAGCGGCGACAATGTTGCCGAGTGTATCGGCAATTTCGCTCAACTCCGCCGCTGCGGTGTCTCGGTTTTGAGTGGAAGTGGTGTTGTCACCAATGTTACTCTCCGCCAACCAGCTGCCCCTAGTGGGGTGATCACTTTACCTGGAAGATTCGAGATCTTATCTTTATCCGGTGTGTTCCTGCCCGCACCGTCTCCCCCGGTCGCGACGGGGCTGACGGTGTATTTAGCCGGCGGGCAAGGTCAGGTTGTCGGAGGCAGTGTAGTCGGGGCACTAGATGCATCCGGACCGGTTATGGTCATCGCTGCGACATTTACCAATGCGGTTTTCGAAAGGTTGCCTATGGAGGATGAAAATAGCGGTGGTGGCGGCAGCGATGGCGACGGACATAACAATAACAATAGTAGTAAAGACGGCGGTGATGGATATTCGGAGTCTCAGTCTCAAGGTATGAGCCAAGATCATCCCCAAGGTGGTTCAATGCCAATGTATAACTTGCCTCCTAGTTTGCTGCCTAATGGACAAATGCCTCATGACCTGTTTTGGGGTACTACGCGGTGTCCTCCGCCGTTTTCTTAACCGGAAACGGCAATGGATTGGTGGGTTTTTGGTGCAAAACAAGTTGTGGGTTTTGTTTTTTGTTTTCATGTAAGAGTAGTATCAAAGGTAGGGCTTTTTGTTTTTACCATGTTCATAGTTTATGATCTTTGTGAATTCAAACAAGTTCATGGGTCAATTGTATTACTTTGTAGAACTACCTCTCAATCAACTTTGTTTTGGGTCAATTGCAAGGATTCAATACATTCTTCTTTCATGGTATGCTTGTTGAGACTCAATCTTTTCCTTTTGTATAATCGTCAGAATCTAATTTATTAATCGATTAATTTAAATCGAATACTATAGATGCAAAGACGGCTTTCTCAATCTAATTTTTTTTATTTACAATTTGAATGTTTAATTTTACTTAATGAATTTAGTGTCTCATATGATTATTTGTGTTAAAACTCAGTCGTATTTCTCCAATATTTTATGCTTTTTGGTAATTTTTTTCTTCTAATTTGAACAAACTCTCGAGTTTATCAATGTGTTGAAGAGATGGTGAGATTTTGCAGAGCTTTTGACCAAAAAGAAATTTCAAGATAATTAGCTTTGAGAGGAGAATGCATGTGGTAGGGGGCAGATGGTGAACAACTTAATTAACATTTGGTCAAAATTGTGGGGTTGAATGAGTTTAAGTACGGTAGGAATCGAACGACTTCACTGATAAATAAATTATTTCTTGAGGTTTGAGTTTGAGCACCAGAAATATTAAGAGTGTTAGCGTTCGATATTATATGGTTGAAAGTTATCTTTTAACATATATTATATTGTGAAATATTTTTAAACCAATATTATATTATACTTAATATTAATGAAAAAAAATTAAAAAGTGTAAGTATCTCTTATTTATTAGTTTGGAAAATTGTGTAAATGTAAGTGTGTCTTTAGTTTAAGAGTTTAGTTAATGATGATTATATATTTTAAAGACACAATTGTTCGAATTTAAATTTTTTTAAGGAGAATAACACTCTTTTTTACTATTAAGGTAGTTTAATGAATATAATTTTTAATTAAATTTAGTAATTTGAAAGGTTATTAATAATTTAAATATTGTGTAAATTTAACCGTAAGTCTTTAGGATGATATATTTATTAGGGAAAAGTATATAAACGGTCCTCCGACTATAGAATGATGTTTTATTAAGTCGTTTTCTGACTATAGGATGATGTTTTATTAAGTCGTTTGACTAATTAAAAAATTATAAAATAGTCCTTTAATTATAGGACGTTGCTTTTTTTTTGTCTTTTGACTATTCAAAGTTATAAAATAATCACCAACTATTTCATATGCTTTAAATTTGTACTTTCTCATTAAAAAATTGATGACAATTTGAGTTGGATGTTAATTTACTGACTAAAATATGATAAAATATGATCATAGAATTTCAAACGACTATCATATCATTGACAACATGTTAACGTTCAACTCATATTATCGTTATTTTTTTAAAGAGAAAGGACGGGTTTGGAATATATGAAATAGTTAAGTGACCGTTTTGTAATTTTTAATAATTGAGGGACTCAAAAAATAATATCCTATAATCAATAGACTATTTTGTAACTTTTAGTGATTAAGAGACTTAATAAAGTATCATCTTATAGTGAGTTAGGGGACATTTGTATACTTAATAAGATCCGAATAGGTATTTGATAAGAGTATATTTACCAATTGTAGCATTTTGTTTTCTAGTAATTGAAAGAGGCTATATATATATATTATATAGTAATAGTTTTCTCGCAACGTTTGGTTCTGATTTATAATATCAGTAATATTTTATTATGGTTTGTTTGTTGATACAGTCAGACCTATTTGTATCTATTTTTTATTCGAATTCTTTTAGATGGTTTTTAATATTTTTCTGTATGGTAAACGACTTGTTATCTTCTCTGACTCTTCGGTCGGTGATTCCTCCTAATGTGATAGGGAGACGTATGTGTCGTGCCGCAGCCAGAGTCGGGAACCGGAATCTGTATCGGCCGGCCAGTCATTGGTTTGAACTAGGTTTGGCTTGTCTGAATCTGTATTTTGTTTAGTCAATGGTTGGTGATATGGTATGTGGAGAAAGTTAACTTGTTTTGGTAGTAGGTTATTGAAAAAACATGAGGAACATTGTATCAAAGAAAAGTAGATAACTGGTTCTACACCTTCCTTAGAAACTTGTAAGAATTTTTAGTCTCAACAAAACTAGACACAATGTCCTCATAAAAGTCAATCCTAATCCACCAAACTAAAGCAAACATGTTTGTAAGAACACTAGACAAGTAAATTATCGAAATGATTAACGAAATGATTAATAGTAAGGGTAAATCCTATATCTTAGACCTTGTTGAAGAACATAGTTCTTGATCGTGAATGGAATCTTATGCTACCTCCATTAACCGAAGGGATTAATAGTAAGGGTAAATTATCGAAATGATTTGGGATGTTGAATTGGTCGGTTTGATTAACAGATCGAATCGAATTATCTAAACATCGGCAATCAGTTTTTTTCTCTTTTAACCGTTAACTAAATCGGTTTTTTAAAAATAAAAATCTTTTAACCAAATTAAAGAAAATTTGGTTAACTGGTCGGTTAACCAAATTAACCAAAATTTCTAAATAATAAATATTATATATTTAATATTGAATATTTTTAATTAATTTGGTCAATTAATTTAGTTAAAATCGAAATATGAACACTTCTAAGGCTAAGTAATATATAAATAATATATATTATATTAAATATTTAAAATTTTGATTAATTTGATTAATTACTCGATTTCGAATAAATTAATTGATAATCAAAGTTTGAAAAAGATTCTTAACTTTTATCCGATTGAATAAAAAAATTAACTGATCAATTAATCGAATTTTTTTTTGTTCGATCGTTTAAAATTGAACTTTGAACACCCCTAGAAATCATTTCATTTTATAAGTGTTTATTTTTTAGTATTGAATTTAAAAAATAACATTTTGATAACTGACATTATTGATTTATATCAATTTGATTAACGAAACGTTAAATATCATTATTTTGATGACGTGGTATAAAAGGATTTATTTTTAATTTAACCCTTAAAGTTTAAATAAAATATCAAATTGATCCTTAAATTTTAGATAAAATTTTAATTTAACCAATGAATTCGATTAAAGTCTTCCGCTGTCGATCGTCCCCCTCTGTATGCCACCATTGGCCTTCGCCATCAACAACCATTGGACTCTAAAATTTTTAGTTCACTCTCTTTTAAGTTCCTGAACGCGAATATAATGTTTGTTTATAAAAAAAATCTTAAATTTAAGAAATCTAGTTTAGAATCATTGTTATTCTTTGAAATTAAATACGAAAGTAGGTGGAATATCAAAGAAGTAGTTTACTCATTTATTATTATAGTTTAATTTCAAAAGAAGTCAGATTTTATCTAAAATTTAAAAGTTAAATTGTAATTTTATCTAAATTTTAGGAGTTGAATTAGTATTTTATCTGAAGTTCAGGGGTCAAATTAAAAACAACTCCTTTTACCAACATGTCACGTCATTAAACTAACAATATCTAACGTCTTAGTGACCAGAATGTTATAAACCGATAAAGTGACTAAAACATTACTTTTTTAAAACTTGATGACCAAAAGTAAATAATTATGAAACAAAGTGACTATTTGGATAGTTTACCCTCATGAGATTCACTAAAAAACTGTCTAATTGACAATTGAAGACCATGAAAAAGACACTGTTCTCCCTCTTTGGGTTGAGCCAATGAAACTTGGTTTCCATGATGGTGTACACTACTAGTTTCAAACATTCATAGGCACTAGGAAGAAAATGGGAGCCGCACTTTGTTGAACATTTTCTATATCTTATTTATTCGCATTTAAGGTTTGAATTCGGATATCGTGAATAAAATAAGTTACATAAAGATGATCACTCCTATAATAAGACTACGATCTCTGAATCTAAATCAATCAATGAATCAAATTAAAAACGATAATTTTACGGAACTAAAAGTTTAACATTATACTGATAATCGAGTTTTGAGGGAATTATTTGAAATTAGGGTTTAAGGGTGCTATATTAGGGGAACATTTTGACAAGTTGATTGAATTTTGTGTTAAGGCAAAGGGATTAGGGGGGAGGTGAAAGTGGAAGATAACTCATAATTGCAATACTTCAAATCAATTTGGTTTGTCATAATGCCTACCCAATTTGGAAATGTTTCAAATTTGTTGGGTGCATTATTATTCGTAGGTATTGAAAGCTACATTAAGGCTATGTTTGGTATAAGGCTCAAATACAAAATAAGTGCCTGAACTATATCGCTTTTCACGAATAGGTGCCTAAAGTATTTTTGGCTCATCTAGGTGCCTAAATTTATAAATGTTATCACTTTAGGTGTCCAGGTCATCAATGGTGTTAATTTCTCCCGTTAAGTGACACGTGTAATTATTTGGTAATTTTAAAAATTTTATTTAGAAAATTAAAATTATATATTTAAAAAAATTAAAATTTTGAAATAATCCCAAAACTCTAAAAACCTTCGTTTCAACCCCTAAACCAATGCCGACCTTCATCCTTTGCCGTCAATGAAGCTCCACCTGACCTCACTTCTCCCTGGTGACCAAAACTCTTATGAAATCTTGACCGATCGACGACGAATTGACGTTTTATACCATGCAAACCTTAGGATGAAAATCGTGATCCCACGCAATTTCAACGACCAATCAACGACAACTATGGCGACGTATGACTAGGAGGATATCATGGACTACATCAGCGGTGATGGTCGTGACCAAAAAAGATGGTGGTGGCGTGCTAATTTAGGATTTGGGGATTTTAGGGCTTTTGGGGCTTTTTTTATAATTTAAGAGAAAATTATTTTTATATAAATATACTAATATTTTTAATATGTTTTTAAAAATAAATTTCAAAATCACCAGATGGTAACATATGCCACTCAACAGAAGAAATTAACGTCGTTGATGGCTCAAGCACCTCAAATGGTAATGTTTGTAATGTTACACACCGAGATGAGTCAAAAAATACTTTAGGCATATATTCATGAAAAAAGATATAGTTTCACACTTGTTTTATATTTAATCTTTGATATAAAAGTAATAATATGATAAAAGAATA